AGGAATGCCTGATATCTTGGTTAAGGGAAGATAAGATATGATGAGACTTCTAAGTTGGTGAGTAAAGAGCCTGTAACCAAGTGAGAAAGGTAAAGGTAAAGAACAAGGAAACATGTGACCTGGGGAGCCAAAAGGTGTCCTGCTGCCTGTTGAAAGGTAAAGTAAGGAGCAGAATGGAAGAGGGGGCCTACAAACTCCTTTTCAAGAGATCCATGGAAGCAGTAGGAGGAGGAGCTGCAGGAGAAGAGCTAAGGTGGGCAAAATTCATTTGTAGGGAGAGTTGGGAGGAGCTGCAAGTTGTTTAATTGATTGGGGGGGGGGGGAAATCAGAAATAATTTTGGGGTGGAGAGGATGCTAGGTGTCAGAAGCATTCATTTCCAGATGGAGGAGCAGTATCTAGGACCCCACTGACACCTTACACTTCAGGTGTGATTAACCACTTAATCACCCTAAGTGGTCACTAGGCCACATGTTCAATCAAGTAATGGTATGATAAAAAGGAATAAGCTACAAAGTTACTCCAAAAAATATGCATAATAACTTTGTAGCTGCTTCCTATAGCACCATTAATTGAATGTGTGGCTAGGGGCCCCTAGGCTGGGAGCCCCATCAACTGATTGAAGTTCCCACCTGTGGGGGGGCCATCTGCACCCCCAAGCCTGGGAGCTTCCAACTGACAGGGATCCCAGCCACGTGAGGGCATGCACCCACCCAAGGCTGGGAAATCACAGCACTTGGTCTTTCAGCCATGAGGGTGCATGGTGCAGTCCCACAGCTGGGAGTTCACAGCAGCTGAGGTATCCCAGCTGTGGGGTTGAATGGAGTGCCCCTGCAGCTTGGAGCTCCATCAGCTGAGGGGGCTCCCAGATGCAGGAGCTTGCTTCTTGCCATTTGAGGGGGGAGCCTGAGATTGGGTTTGCCCTGCACCAGCAATAAGGTGTGATGAGATGATCTGTGATCCTACGATCATGCTTCCTGCCATGCATGTTTAAAGATATGCTTATTGCATTTTGTTTCTCTATAATTTGAATTAAATACAACATTCACTAATAAATGTCAGGATTCTGATTAAATTTAAAAGGAGGCAGGATAGCGACAGTCAAGTCTGTCATCACTGAATGTCACCTCCTGCAAGTATAATCTCAGTGTAATAGGGATATATTGGTGAGCTTTGTTATGAGTGTAATTCATCTTCTGGATCTGTTGGCCCTATGGTGTACTTGAATGCTGGTGATATTTAACATGAAGCTGGTTCCTGTTATCCAGTGAGCCTTGAGATCATTCACTAGTTATTATTTCTGAAAAGCCTGCAATACCAATACCGATTTTACAATGTGTCACAACCCAATTAAGCAGTGCCCATGCCACAAGCAAGAGATACTATTCAAAGCATTTTCATTCTGCACTAGGTTAACTAAGGGTTAACAAAATGATAGTAACAGCCTTTTTTGCTGAGCATGCCAAAAAGAGATTTATAGCTGCGACACTAACAAGAGATAAAACTTTTGCCTTCTGTGCTTTATATAAATCATTATAATTGGTCAGAGTAAAACTGGGAGTAGCCCTGCAATAAGACCCTAGAGGAGACCGCTATATAATTGGCAATTCTAATTAAATTTATGACATGGCGAAATATAATTGGCTATTACACAAATAAAACCCGCTTGCATTTTCGCAAAGTCGGAGACCTCTGAAAACACGTCAGAGTAAATTGATGAGCTAATCATTCATCAATATCATCCCCGCCGCGACCTCTTAGGCGTATCCTTAACCTGCATGCCCGATAAACCATAACCTGCCGACCGCCGGCCCGTATATATCTGCAGACCGACCTCACGAACTCTAAGCTGTAACTAACTAAGTATCTCTGACCTCCGTCATTCACCACCTTGACGGCCTAAGTAAACAATCTTGCTTTGCAACCGATAAGCGTCTGTGCCTAATTCCACTCCAAGCATCACAAGTACCCGCCTGCTGGGCCCCTAAGGCCCCGGACCCCTCGTTGCAGTGCACGGCAGCGACACAATGTAGTTTTTCCTTGTTAGTATAAGGTCAGAGAACACAAACTTGTTTTAACCAACTATTTCACTGCATCTGTACCAACTTAATGCAATGACTTGGATGCTGATACAAAAATAGGAAAAACTTGAAAATTATCAATTTAAATCTAGCTAAGCATTAATAGGTGGGAGTTACAGATTGCTATGGACAGCCAACTAGTCTCTACAAAGCTATCTCCTCAGTTCTGTGTGATGAATTGCATCTCTATAACTAAATTATGAGAGTTAAAATTGTTCCTGGAATCTAGACCATTCTTATTTAGAATAGCTGCAAGGGAACTGCATTTTTAATTGAATGGGAAAATACGTAAAATAACCTAGGCAATGAAAAATAAAATTTAGCAGCTCTGGTTTGATACCTAGCTCCAGCCACAACGTCAATATATACAACCCCATTGAAAACAATGACACAAGTCACTGACAGCATAATTTGGCTCATATAATATTTATTATTGATGATGATGAAGAAGAAGAAAAGAAGAGTTCAGTTTGGATCACATTTGTCACCTTATAGGTTTGACTCTTCACTCACACACACACACACACACACACCCACCCTTTATAAAATTGACCTATTCAAATAGAAACCATTGCAAGACAATAAACATGAAACCCCACTATGCTATTTTGCAATGTATTTCCAGTGATTAATCTCCCTTTATTAGGCAGGAACCTGGCTCAGTTTGAAATACTTCCCCAAAAGCTTTATCTCAGGGGGGCCCCTGTTTTCATACACCAGGGGTGGGCAATTATTTTGGGCACAGGGCTGCTTACCAAGTCTTGGCAAACTGTCGAGGGCCGCATGGGTAGCCCCACCCCTTGACAGTTGCCCCGCTCCCTAGTTGCCATCTTGCGACTGGAAGTCCCACCTCCTAACCCCTGATCTTTGCCACCAGAAGTCCCTCCCCTTGCCCCTGGAAGGACTCCTTTCAACAAGGGTTTTTGCTATCTCAGAACCAGAAAAATACCAAACTATAATTCTAAAACTCAAACATCTACAACATTATTAATTTGATTTCAAGATATATTTTTGTCCTGATTTACATGTGTTTGTGTCGTGCACATAGAGATGATTGCATAATAGCAATGAAGTCTTACTCTTATCTATTGTGGAGGGGTGGAGGCATGGAGGGGGTATAGGTTTGTGGGAGGCTGTGCATGTGTGGGTATGTGGGGGAGGGTGCGGAGGTGTATGAGAGGGTTTTCTAGGGGGGTAGGTGTGAGGTGAGGGGGCATGTGGATGTGTGTGTGGATATGGGGTTTGTGGGGGGGAACTGCATGGGGGGGAGGGCGGCTGAGATCTGCGTGTATAGCAGTGCGAGAGGGGTGTGGGTGCATGTATATGGTGGGGTGTACGTGTGGGACTTGCCCTACGAACTCACTCACTCACTGCCCATGCACATGCGCACACACGCGCACACACACACACACACACACACACACACACTGTCCCTCCTTTATTGCTCTCTCCCCCCCCCCACTCCTGCCTTCATTGCACAGATGCATGCGCATGTGCGCACACACACCCGCTCCTGCTCCTAGCCCCAGGGTACAGGTGCAGGCCCTGTGCTTCCACAATCTGGCCATGCAGCCAGGAGTCATGTGATGCAGGAGCAGCTGGCTAGTGGGCAGGGATGCACTGAAAGTGGTGGCAGGTGAGGGGGAGTGGGAGCGAGCAGGCATGCAAGAGTGCAGTGACAGCTGGGCGGGAGCTCAGGGCCCATGCCAGTGTCCCAGGGCCAGCACTGGCAGGGCCCAGAGTGGGCGGCAGGTGTGTGGGGTCCCAGTCAGCAGGGGCTCTATGGAACCAGGCTCTCTCTCCCCTCTCCCTGCTGGCACAGCCCAGCCTTGCTCCACAGAGCCCTTCCAGCCTGCACCCCATGCTCCTGTCGTCCCACTCTGGGCACCAGTGGCACTGGCCCCAGGAGACAGCTGCAGCCCCACACTCCCACCCAGCTGTCACTGCGTTCCCATGCACCCCCTCACTGCCACTCCCCCCATCCCACACTTTCCTGCCTGTCACTGCAGCGCTCCAGCACCACATGGTCCCTGCTGCATAGCTGTGACCACTGGACTTAGCACGAGGCAGCCTGTACCCAAGGACTGGGGTGATATTCCACGATGCTCCCCTGTCTCCCTCCCCTCCCCCCACTCCATGTTCTTATCTGAATATCCCTCTCCAGTGCAGTGATGCAGGAACAGCCTGACATTCCTAGGCCAGAAGTTTCTGCTAGGC